CATATATACCCATTGTAAATGTGAAACTTGCAAATGTAAGTTAGTCTGTATGAATATGGTCCGCTCATTATTCTTTGTTGGATAGGTTATAATAGTCTGGCCAATTTTTAATCATTATGTTGCACAGTGTTAAAAAATACGTGGTTAAACGCACACTTAAATGCTAGGCGGAGACCCAACTTCTCACCTAGGCCATAGGTGTCCAATTAAACGCACCATGAACTACCAGAACCCATGGATGACAAAGAAAGGAAGAGAAGAGACGAGATTAGGATGGCAAAATGGTTCGTTGGGTTATGACTCCATCTATGCCTACCTCGTGGTGTCCACGTCGCCCGATTTCACTCACCCCCTGCTAGATTTAGCCCCTTCTGCTCAATTTCTCCATGTGCTCAGCCAAAGCAGGGCTGCCATGGAGAGGGACAGGATAGGGTGCGTGCGGGCGGAGTAGAGGTGGGCGCATGGAAGAGCGGATGGGGCGAGCGCAGGAGGAGCAGAGGGGGCACACCATCAGAGAGGGGGAGCGACGGACAGGAACGTGTGGGCAGGCGGCGGAGTGGTGGCGGCACGGCTGCGTGAGAGAGGATTGGACGATTGGCTGCTGGAATTGGTGGCTGCGTGAGAGAGGATTGGACGATTGGCTTCCTGCCTTAGTGGCAAGTGGTCCAAGTGGGCTGTTATGACATTGCTCTTCCTTTTCTGTTTATTATTTCACATTTATACAACTAAATCTCCTAATACGTAGCAGACGTGTAAACGTTTAATCACATTTAGTCTGTGTTTACACATCCTAGGCGCTAATCAGTGTCTTAGCGCCTAGTGTTTTCTTGAACCTTGATGTTGCATATGCCATTGCATGCAGATGCTTCGCATTATGATTGGACATTTCAAGTAACCCTCTTATGGGCATGGGGCCTTGAATTGCTTTAGCATAATGTCACTACCAAAGTTTTGGTATCTACTTCCTCTAAACCTAAATATAAGTCTATCTAGGTTTGTTCTAAGGCAAACCTTTTCACCTTTGGCTACCAATATCCGAAAAGTATGTAGTTGATGACACAAGACATTGCTAGATTCATTTTGGAAATATACTTTTACAATATATAAATAATTTCATTTTAAATAATACATTGTTATAGATAACTAGTCTAACTGTCTTAGGGAAGACCTAGATGGACTTATATTTGTGATCCGAGGAAGTATTTTCTTTTCAAATAAATATTATACTTGTTGTTTTGTTCCTCAGTCCATTTTAGAAGGAATAAGTAGCAGCAAATGCATGCACAGTTATTTGGTTGGTTTGCTGCTCTCTTTTATTCTGATTGAGAACTTCATCGTCAGGGTACTAAATGCCATTGTTTTAGCTGTTTGAATGACTAGGTCTTAAATGCAGAAGAAGAAATCCGAAGGCGTAGCATGCAGGCTTCATTGCGTGCTGCCATGCCTCAGCCGTCAGAAAATGCAACAGATGGAAGTTCTGTTTCTAGGTTGGCCCCTAGAATGACTGTTGATGTCAATTTTGGTGATGTTGCTGGCGATTCAGATGCTGGTTCTAACCAGGACACTCCTGGACGCCCCTTGCATCACTTCCACAGCATCTCTCCTTCAATAGCCTCTTTTGCGAGGTCACCGTTTGGTTCTCTACAGGTAAGCTGCTCGAATGCTCATTCAATAGTCTTGTTGTAAGTCCATTTCTACTTTTGTCTGTGTTACATGTTTTGGCAAGTGTTTAAATGGTAGCAAATTGCAAGAGTTAGACTTCAAAATCAGCTGATAACTTAAGTAGTAAATAAAGATGATTCTTTCAATGCTGCCCAGTTTGCTTATATACCATTTCTGACTCTCTTTGTTGGGTTGGTTCCCAAATCAGCTGATAACTTAAGTAGTAAATAAAGACGATTCTTTAAATGCTGCCCAGCTTGTTTATATACCATTTCTGACTTTCTTTGTTGGGTTGGTTTTAGTATTTTCACATTGCTAAAGAACCACATCTAATGTTACAGGGCCACACACCAAGGAGTCCGGCAACATTCTCTACGGCAAGTCCATCACGCTTCGCCACAAATATACACCAAGGACAACCTCCTGCTCTTTATTCAGCATCATTGCCAGGAAGTAACTATGTAGCCTCATCACCTTCCCCGGCCGCATCTGGTGGTTCTTCCTCGGTGTTCAGGGACCCTCGCCCACCTAACTCTACATAGGTTCTTGCTTTGTTCGTAGTTGTACCGCCATATGGGTGTTATTTATTGACAATGTTGCTAAAATCTCTTAGCTACCCAAGGATTTAGATAATGTTGTGCTTCGAGCAACACTAGTGGAAAAACAAAACAAGTCTCTTATGTGTGTACTGTAATTAGCATGTAACATCACTGAAATTATGTAAAAATTAGGATATTCGTTTTCCTGCTAGGTGCTAGGGCGCCAGATCTTCTGGACAATGTGCTAGATAAATGTATTATTACTAGATTCGAAGTGTCAATGCACTGTGCAGTTACTCAAGTATTCGTATCATTAATTGAGTTGCGTTGCAGTAACCAAGGCTTGTGCTGAAATTGCAATTGCAATTGCAAACTTCTTTTTCCCATCTTTATTTACTGCTGAGCGATCGTTTCATTGTTTGGGCGGTACTGCTTTAAGCTTCCGACGAAACAAGCAACTTCATATTTGCTACCTGTTCTCAACATGTTTATAGAAGTAACCGATGCACAACCCACAAGATCATGTGGCAATCAATCGTGGACAAATGTACGAATGAGACAACAGCTTGATTAGCTGCATTGCGTGTAGAGAGGGTAACAAATGGCAGTGTTCCAGCTCGTTCAAGGTTCATACAATCTTTTTAGGGCGTCGAAGGCCGGGAACTACAGGAAGTTGTAAGAAAAAAATTAGTAGAGTAACTAGAGACCAAGTTTAGAGGCATATAAATAGAAAACACATGGCATCAGTTGATAAGATAACGAGTTATCAAGAAATGGGCACGAAGAGGGCAATCAATGGAACATCTGAGTATCTGACCGCAACTCTATTTGTATTTTAAAGGCTCAAATTTTGTTTGAAGGCCGCATGCCAGACACATCACTACTCTGCGTTAGCTGCTCTTGACACCAGCAACAAGGCTAACATGTGTAAAATATGACCAATCTGAACCAAACTTTGGATAAATAAATCAGGTAGTAAGTTCTGTTATTCTAACACCACCCCAACGAAACCTCATACTGATAGAGGTGGCATTATCAGAGCACTAGAGTCTAGGACTATACACATAAATTGCTGTGGGCCCAAAAAATGAATTAGAGCTTGTAGGGGAACCAACTGATAAATGTATACTGCTGAGAGCTAGCATAATGAGATGTGCAACCACCCACACACACAGAGAAGGAAATAAGTGAAACAAACTCTAGAAAGTGATCAGGCAGCTTGTTGCATTTGGAAATAAGGAAACAAACATATGGCCCACTAAATAAGTTTCGACCCAACTAAAACTGTTCTCTGAGCAAAATATATCTTATCAACTAAAACTGCCATAGATTATTTGTAAACTGTAGATGACGGTTTATTAACAATATAAAAATGAAAGATAACAGGTGATGCAAATCTTCATAATCAAAATGCTATATTACCTCATCCAATGCTGTTGTCAAATCATAGGCCTTCCCCATCCCCTAAAATTGGGCAAAGAAGTCCTGCAAGGTCCAACACAGTATTTAGATCAAGCAAACTAACATAGGGGCCAAATACCATATCGAACTCAGTGCTGGAGAAAGGTCATCTTCCCAGTTGGAAGGTGACATACATCCAAGGACAACAATTGCATACATACTGAAAATCATGTCATAATATCATTTCTGCAGATCACATGCATCATTTCAAAAGGAATTTAATGTCAATGGTGAATGGTGACAAGTCAGATTCTCAAAATCTGTTTAACCTGTAGCAATTTCCCCATAGATGGGATCATTTATCCTGATAGTAAATGAACTAAGAGAATCTAAAAAAAACTCAATTCAGATTGATCACTCTAAGCAATAATAATTCCTATTACCTTCAGTCAGTGACTCTATTGAGCCATTAAGTGCATAGTATTACAGAATACCACAAATCAATAAATCAAGTTCAATTTGATTGACCCCTTGCTGTGCCCCCTTCATGTCTAATTCTCGAATATTATGCATTTCTAGTTTACCACTGGAGAGATTTAAAAACCAAATTCATTTGTATAATTTGACAATTGTCGAGCAAGCAAGTGCACATCAAAGTCCAGTGGTGCATATGAACTGTCAGTAAAAACTACCAATAGGGCTGGACTACAGTTCAAAAAGATAACTCATACCAAAGTAAATTTCAGCAACCATAAGCATAGAAATCCATAAGTACTACCAATAAAGAAATCACTTGAGTATAGGTAAAGTGTCTTCTTTCAGTAATAGTTTGATACTACCAGCACAACCTCTTGTTCAGTAATAGGGCAATACCGCAAACAATGATCTCAAATCAAGTTATACACCAATCCTCTGACCACTTTCACCAGCACCGTAAACAGTAACCACACTGATCCTCAATACCAAAGTCCTAAAAACTGACATGTATTACTCTCCCAACTCAAAGTCAACATCCAATAAAATTGAAAGATAAACTATATTTAGGACCCTCAAAAGAACCTCCACGCCCTGAAGTCATGCATATTATTTTACAGTCACGTGCCGTCCCTTTAATTGCCATGTCAACTTTATTTACACACAATAGTAATTCTCAGCTTGTTTTCCCTTCACAACCACGCTACATCCAGTCTACAGAAATGTCAAAACCAACCACCATCAACATCAAACAACGAGCAAGCCTCTAGAAAGAACACAAGCCCCGTACGAAACTACCACATTACACCACATCCTCCTAGGATAACTTCACTCGAATCCACGGGTTTGACAAACAAAACGCAGACAAGGAATCAAACTCACTGGATACTTGTCGTCGACTCAATTTCCCATCCTGGACTAGATTTACCAACATACTAATAATATCCGATAAGCACAGACAACGAACTGCTTCAACGCAGTCAGGTTGCTGAAGAAGAACTCGGGTAGGTTAGGTACCTGGAACCATTTGGCGGCGACGGCGAGCGCGGAGGAGAGGCGGCACCTCCTGGAGTCCTCGCAGGCGTGGAGCGACTGGAAGTCGTCGGCGGGGAGCTTGCGCGTGATCCACCCGATGTCGATGTAGACGTAGCGCGGCGGCGGGGGCAGGTCGACCTTGATGCGGACGACGTTGTACCAGATGAGGAAGCGGCGGACCTGGACGCCCTGGAGGTCGGAGAGGGAGCCGTAGCGGAGCACCCCCGTGATGTGGGCCTCGAAGTAGGTGAGGTACTCGAAGTGGACGTAGCAGGGGCCCGCGAGGTCGACGGTGAGGCTGCCGTTGCTGGCGAGCGAGAAGGCGGTGACGGTCGAGGGAAGATGCCCGGGGGCAGGCCGTACTTCTGGAGGAGCTCGGCGAGGGTCAGCGAAGGCGAAGGGGGCGAGGGAGAGGGAGAGGAGAGGGAGTAAGAGAGGAGGCGGGAGGGGTCGCGGGCTCCGCCGACGCCGTGGTGGCACCGGCGGCGAGGAGGAGTGGCAGGAGGAGGAGATCGAGACGCCGCATTGGGAGGAGACGGAAAGAGAGCACGTTTTTTTTCTCCGCGTCGTAACGGGTAGTACTAGTAAGCAGGGGTCGCCGGCGGGTAGGTGCCACGATGGGCTGGCTGCGCGCCTGCGCGGGCCTGGGTCCACTTCCTCCTCCACGAGGGCCATGTTTTGGGAAAATCCCAAGTAAACAATTACATGAGGTTCGATTGAATAGAATCCAGGGACGGATATGCCTCTTTCTTCGAGGGACAAAATAGTGTTCATGCTTACGAGATTGCCTCTGCCTTCGAGGGACAACGAATAAATTTCATGCTTACGATAAGATCATCTTGAGATTATATGTTCTAAAGTTTAGCCCTAAACTTTAAAAATGTTGCTCTTAAAGAAATTAAAAATTAATTGTACAATTTAGTTGTATTTTACGAGACGAACGGTTTGATCATAATTAATCAACGATTGGACAATTAATTCGACGGCGCCGATTCGGTGGCCGAACTAAACGAGGCCGAGGTTTCAGAGGCGCGTGGTAAGGACTGGGATTTGGGAAAATGCTCAAGTAAACAAGATTACATGAGGTTCGATTTGGATGGAATCCAGGGACGGATATGCCTCTTTCTTCGAGGGACAGAGATCGACGGATATGCCTCTGCCTTCGAGGGACAACGAATAGTGTTCATGCTTACGAGGCTAAGATCATCTTTAGATTCTATGTTCTAAAGTTTAGCCACTAAACTTTAAATTATTTTAGCTCTTAAAGTTCTAAATAGGCAGTCACATGTTATTGTTGTCAAGTTTAGCTAAACTCATAAAAAAATAATTAATTTATCAGACCACACAACTAAGTTAAAGTAGTTTAAAGTTTAGTCTTTAATTTTAGCCAACTAAATAAACTTTAGACTATGAAATATTAATCATCTGGCTACATATATTTAGGCCTTGTCTTGCTTCGTTTTCTTGGGTTTGATGACCAAAATGCATTCAATTTATCATTTATCGGAGAACTTTCCTTCGATAAATTATATACCAATGCGGTGTAAATATAGCGTTCCCCTTCACCGTGAATGATCCGGAATGGGTTAACCAAATTCGGGTAAGTCATTCTTTATTGTATATTTAGACATAGCATGTATCTAGATAGTAGTAAAACTATGTAGAGACCAAAATCATTTATTATTTTATCTAAAGAGATAAAACAAAAAAAAAACATCCACGTCGTCGTTCAAGTGGACGAGCTAGGCGTGCTGGACTTATGTAACTTGCGGGAAGAAAACTCATGTCACCTTCAATAAGAAAATGTGGCCTTACTACTAGAAATGCATCTTCACTTGGGCTTCTTCTGTTACTAAGCGAGAAATGCATTTGCACTTGGGAATTTTCTGTAGGCTTTGTTTGGTTCCCTATAAAAAATAATTATCTGCTCATAGTTATCTCTTTTGAATCTAAATAAGTACAGCTAATAAAATAGCTAATTGTTAGCTGGACCTATAGATAATAATTATCTACTAATTGAACCAAATCAGACAATAACATATATTACTATCTTTGTAGCATTTTTCATTAGCTGTGCATCCAAACACCCTCCAGCTAATAGGTAGGCTAGCTAATATTAGATATGAGCTATTAGCCAGCTAACTATTAGCAAATAATGAATCTAAATAGGGTCTAAGCGAACCCTGAAGCCCAAATGAGAGGAAAAAATAGAAGAAACGGCAGAGTTACCGGGAGTGATGATTTGACTCAAGGGTAAAAGCATTCTTATTACGGTGAGTGAAGTCCGACCTCATAAAGCTGTCCCATGAAACGATGTCATTAATCTGAAATTTACCTAGACCTAAATCTTTTGTCGCTTTTGTGAACAATGTCGTGTCAATACTTCGTCACCGTGTCACAATGCATTGTCGCCTCTTAAACCTACCCATTTGTTGCCTTCCTCACCAACCTTATCGCCCGCTCATCCACAACTAATTGACAACATTTGCCGTGTAACATTACTATCACATTGCTAATGGTGCTTGTCTTGCTCGTTTTCTTGGGTATTGATGACCAGAATGCACCGTCGCATCTAGAACCTAATTGATCATTTATATCGTTTTGAACTTTTGATTGAAAGCCATCGCCCTTTTAATATTAAATTTCAATGCCCGTGTATATATAGCCGTATAGGGAACCTTCCTTCACTTATGATGTGCTTGTCACATTTTTTTGTTCTTTTATTGCTCCATCCATTCTAAATTGTAAGTCATTCTTTATTGTATATTTAGACATAGCATGTATCTAGATAGTAGCAAAAACTATGTATCTTGAAAAGCCAAAATAACTTATAATTTGAAATGGAAGAAGTATTTTAGACACTCACGAGTAAAGTGGGGTGGTTGGGGGGGACTGTTTTCTTATTTTTTTTGGCCACCAACACATGATAAAGGCATATCTCCTAGTTGGTGATCCAAATATGCACAATGCACTAGAGTTACAACATAGTAGAGGAAGCGAGAGAGGATGACACTAGCATCATGGCATCCAAATCAAGGGGAGAGAGTGACCTTGAAAGATTGTAAGTTATAGAATTTCTTTTTATTATGTGATAGCTACCTAGAGACTATAAGGTAAATAATTGGCGGCCTCTCGGTTCTTGCACTCATGGTATACCTCTATTATTTTGCTCTCGGGAATGATACTAGGAAAATATGAAATCTGTTGCTTGACACTTTTCATTAGGGTTTTCCTAATTATGCTAAAAATAGGCATGCTCTAGGGAAGACTCTGTAATTTTGGTTTTTAAGAGGGAATTGAGGGCCGCATGGTTCGGCGTTGGATGTCGAACGATGACACTTATTTGGTTTTGTCAAATGAGCTCATTAAATAATTAAGTTACCTGTTATTGGTGAAAATTTGATTTGGTCCTTGTTTGGTTTTGGTAATTGAGTGTCAACCTAGGTGGACTAATATGTGTTTGAGTGAGATATATAGATGATTAGTCCATGGGTACATCATGTGTGAGCAACCTTTGCCATGGAGGTGAAATGGCTTGGAGATGTTGCAAAGCTCACACATGTGATGAAAAGAGCTCATTGCATATGAGACATGACATGGAGTCATGTGATCAAGGTAGAGAAGATCAAGACAAGACTTAGCTCGACGGACCGGTTGCAAGTGTGAAGGGCAAGTTGAGTGATGACTTGGCGCCGATGGACTGAGGCAACGGTGAAGAGCAAGTGAAGTCAAGATCGATGAACCAACAAGGTCACGTGATGATATGAAGTGGATCATATCATTTGTGATATGGTTGGTGCATGTGTTGCATCGACATTAGAGGAGATAGAATGGAATGTGCAAGGCAAAGGTATAACCTATAGGGCATTTTATTTCATCGATCATAGGTCTGTAGGGAAGTTTATGACTAATTTATGATAGATGGCCGTACTATCAAGAGGGGCAAACTTGTTTACATATCGGTCATCTAGTGCTAGTCGAGTGATCTATCTTTGCATCGTTACTAGGATCGAGGGTGAGTGGGAATACGTGGCAAAGTTGAATGATTCTAATCTCTCTCTTTGGTAAAAATGTTTGTGAAATGCTAACACATTTGCACAAGTTGTTGTACACTTGGTGGTGTTGGTACTTTTGCAAAGAAGAAAAAGTTGGTGAAAAAAAGTAGGCGAAAAGAGGTCACTTGATGCTAAGTGACCGGATCATAAGCTCTTTTTATGCAACCCTTGGTGTCTTTTATTTCTAGTTTTTTACGGGTAGGTCCGGACCTTCTGTACTGGGGTTTATCTCGTTGTAGATGACCGGTTCTTCTTTGGTTGTTGCAAATGTGGTGGCATTACCTCGTTCTTGTATCGATAATGCTTTTGTGGGACATGACTCGGATCGAATGTATTTGAAAATAAAGTGACCCGGACGTGAACTTGGTTTGTAATATTTTATTTGAACTCGATGGATATATTCGTCTACTTATGTTATGTCGCGGATGATGTGTTGTGTTGAATCGGCAATCTTGGTTTGTGGCAGAGAAGGTTGAAATCCTTCGGACTTGACTACGGATTATGGGAGCTTAATCGTTTGATCGTGATTCTTTTTGTACTTACGTTCTTATGATTTGTCGGGTCACGTTTCTGCTGCCGTCTCGACCTCTCGAGTGAGTCGAAAGAAAACTGATCGGTGGTGGCCTGCGTCGTCGTGAAAGGCGACGTCGGTGTGCGTTATGGCGCGATCCGGTTAGTGTCTCAGGAGGACCGGACTTGGGCATTGCGTTTGGTCGTGGTGGATCTGACATGTCGGTCACGCTTCTTTGTCGGACCCTCTCTGAGTCGCTTGGAGAGTCGGTCGAGGCCCGGCGCCAGTGTGTCCAATCGTTCTTTTGACCGTTGGCGCGCATTGCCGACCGTTGGGATCGGGCGGCCGTGGTCAAACGCGGGTGTCACGTGGACGGCGATCTGTGACCGGACGCTGGGGTGGTGCGTCCGATCACTCCGACCGACGTGTCCGGTCTCCTCGAGTTTTGTCTAGTGAAGGAGCAACGACTCTTTTGAGCCGTGGGGTTATAAATGGAGGAGTGTCTTGGCCATAGCTGAGGTTGAGCACCTAGGGGGACTTTGTGTCCATGCTTAAGAGTGTTTGGGAGCCCTCCAACTCATTTGTGCTTGCTAGATTGTGAATCAAGAGCTAGTAAGTGATTCTAGTGCGATTGCATCGTGAGGTTGCATTGAGTGGCACCAGATGATCGAGTTGCAAGCCGGTGGTGCTTGTTACTCTTAGAGGTTGCCACCCCCTAGATGGCTTGGTGGCTTGTGACTCAATTGAAGCACATGAGAAGATTGTGCGGTGCTCGTGAGGAGGATTGTGCTCACCCCGTGGGGATCGCGAAGAGCAACTCTAGTTGAGCGTGTCATTGAGCTACCCTCACTTTTAGGGTAGGTTCTTGCGGTGCCCGATGTATGCGGGCTTGGCGGGTGATGCTAATTAGCCGCCGAACCACCAAGTGAGCGGTCGACACAACGGGAACTAGTGTGTTGGCAAGCACGTGTACCTCGGGATAAAATCATCATGTCATCCTTGTCTTCCCGTTGGTTTGCATCCTCGTTACACAAGCTTGTATTTACTTTCATATACGTGTGCTTATGTAGTTGCTCTTGTAATTAGTTTGCTTGTGTAGCTAGCTAGTT